CTCGACCCCTCACCTCATCCCTATCAAGGGAGAGGGAGAGATCTAGTTTCATTGCTCTCTATATAGACAGCGAGTTCTCCCAGCATCATGTTAAAGAAGCTGTATTTTCTCCAGAGTAATTTTTTTTTTCTTTCTTTTTTTTTTTTTTTGGTGTAACCGGGGATTGAACTCAGACCCTTGTGTTTGCCAGGGAAGCACTTATTCTATTGAGCCATTTCCCTGGCCCCAAATTTATTATTTATTTATTTATTATTCTTTTTTGGCAGAACCAGGGATTGAACTCAGGCTCTTGCGCTTACCAGGTGAGTGCTTATTCTACTGAGCTATCTCCCCAGCCTCCAGAGTAATTTTTTATCTTCTTGCCAAAAATCAGATGGCTACAGTTGCATAGGTTTGTTTTTAATGTCCTGTGTGATTTCACTGGTCTGTGACTGTTTTTATGCCAGTGTCATCTTTTAGGATGACTTAGGATAATTTGAAATTGGCTATTGTGGTGGTTTTAGATTTTTTTTGCCTAGAATTGTTTTTGTTATTTTGGGTCTTTTGTATTTGTATATCAATTTTAGGGTTATTTTTTCTAGTAGAGTATCGTTGGAATTTTGATGGGGATTGCACTAACTCTGAAGATCACTTTTGGCAAAATGGCCAACTTAACATTAATTCTGCCAATCCATGGACACAGCAGGTCTATCTTCTAGTGTCTTCAGTTTTTTTCTTCAGTGTTCTAAAATTTTCAATATGGACATTTCTGCTTCCTTGGATAGGTTGATTCCCAGGTGTTTTTTAAAAAGCTATTGTGAATGGAATTATCTTCCTGATTTCTATCTCAGCTAGTCCATTATTAGTATATAAAAAATATATTCATTTTTATATGTTGGTTTTGTATCCTGCCTTTGTCTAATCTTGTACAGTAATTTGAAATTCTTTAAAAGTAACAGTCATTGACAATTTCTCAATGTTGTACAGAGCAGTACTCAAAACTGCAAAACCGGAAGTGTAAAAGGTTCTCTGCATATCTAGAGAAATTAAATTCAAACATCTAAAAAATTATGAACCTCAGAACTCCAAGAAACGTAAGTTGCACACACGTCGGCCAAAATGAGGAAATGAGCGGTCTGAGACTCGTTCTTTCTGCAGAGATCTGCCCTGGGCCACGCTCCCTGGGCAGCTGCTGCATGACGCAGAGCCACCCTGTGGCACAAGCCTTGTTGCTGGAGAGGCAAAGTGTGAACCAAGCTGTCAACAGCCCCAGCTCCTGCCAAGCCCTGTTGTCTGCCTGCCAGCCAGGATTCTAAAAATGCATTGGGGAATTTTGAGTTAGCTTTTACAAAACATGAAATTCTACTGTGTATGTACAGCCTTGGTGAGCTGAAGGGCTTGGGGATAATCTGACACATTTGTCTTTCAAGAGTCAGCATGTTTTTGGAATAGCGCATGCTGAGGCCATTGAGGGACTTCTGTGACTCTCCTTCAATCAGCTCCCTCCTCGGGTATGTGAGTCCTGTATTGAAATTCCCATTCAGGACATCCACCGTTCCGCACACTATTAGAGGACTAGAAGTGAAATGAAGGTGAGATGACTTTCAGGTTCCATTAGGCTGCGTTTCAGCCCATAGACTTCAAGTTTACTTGAGCCTGTAACTTTATGGTCCCTTAAAAGAGGCAGCATCAAGAGCCTGGTATAGTGCTGCATACTTATAGTCCCAGCTCTCTGAGAGGTGGAGCAAGAGGGTCACAAGTTCAAGCTTGGGGGCTGGTGAGATGGCTCAGTGGTCTAAAGCACCTACTTAGAACAAGCTAAGCCAAGCAAAACACAGGGACCACGGTTCAATCCCCCAGCACCACAT